AGTTAGACAAATGCTGGAGGCATGGAAGGCAGAGACAGAAAAAAGATGGTAAAATATTGAATAAGGAAATTAAAAGTTGGTGCAATACATGCTCACATATACAGTCAGCCTTCTGTATCCATGGATTCTGCATCCACAGACTCAGACATAGACTCCTTGAAAATATTTTTTTTTTAATTCCAAAAAGCAAACCTTGATTTTAGCATTTTATATAAGGGACACCATTTTACTACACCATTGTATATCACAGGACATGAGCATCCACGGATTTTGGTATCCACGGGGGTTCTGGAAGCAAATGGTAACATATCAAGGACCCACTGTATACTTGCATGTGTCTGAAAATCACAGTAGAGTTTGTGTACAATATGAAGCAAGAAAGCTAGCAGAAAACCTGCAGAATGAATAACCAAGGATAGCCAAAGGAAATAGAATGGATATCCTAAAGGTACCAAATCTTGTCTCATCTTGGAAACTGAACAGGGTCAGCCCTGGTTCGTACTTGGTTGGGAGACAACCAATGCATACCAGGTGTTACGGGCTGTATTAAAGAGGGGAAAAACTGGTAAAACCACCTCTTGAGCATTTCTTGCCTAAGAAAACCCTATGTACGAAAGTCATGAGGTCATAAGTCAACAGGTGACTAGAAGGCACAGACGCACACAGGACGTGGTTTGAAAATCAAGAAATGTAAGTAAAAAGTGGTGAGCACATGCAACAGAAGAAATGTTGGCCCAAAGTGACATAATGTGCATGCTCCTGGCAGGAAAATAAATATGTCAGGTGGTTTTGTAGGTCAAGGGCCACTGGATTGCTCTTTAGACTTGTGTAGAAAGAAGTGTTGTGTTAGCTGTGAAATATTGTTGCCTAGTGGCCCTTAGGAGGTGGTGTAAGCACTAAAGAGTGGTTCAGTGGGCTTAATTTCACCTTGTACTGTATTGGTCATTGAGTCTAAAGTGTTTCCACTTGTCCAAGGTAAATTGGCTGCAAGGAGGAGCTTTGTGAAGAATGTGGTACCTCACCTTTGGCATGGGAGGTTTCTCTTGCCTGATCATCTTAATACAGTCATCTCCCTGTTGCTGTTGTCCTCTGATAGAATAAAGGAAGTCTGCTGTAGTAAAAATGGGTTTCTAGCAATAACATGAATGTATAGAGAACTTATGGGGGAGGAGAGAGCAAAATATATTTCGAAAAGGCCTCTCTGTTGAGGCAACATAGAACAGATAAGGCCTGTTCCCAACTTTGTGCTCTCCATGTGTTTTGTATCAGGAAAGGAGCTGCCATTTGTACATGTATGAGTCATAACCGATGAGCTCCTAGAAGGGAGTGAGTAGTTTATGAGTAAGACATAGCTTAATAGAAGTTAGGAATACTTTGGGAACAGTGGCCTTGGGAAACCCGGTGAATTCCCAAGGCTACTGAGTGTCTTGAGTAGGTAGGTGCCTGTGAGATAATTTCTCAAGGTATGCAGGGAAGCTTCAGAAATTAGAGCACATAACTGGACAGATACAAGTCAGGAGCATCCTATGTATAGGAACATAGGAAGTTGCCGTATACTGTGTCTGGCATTAATCTATGTAACCCAGTTTTGTCAATTCTGGCTGCATCTACAGTGCAGAAATAATCCATTTTGACACCGCTTGAAGTGGCATGGCTCAATGTTGTGAAATTTTGGGAATTGTAGTGTGTTGTGGCTCCAGAGCGGAGCAGAGCACCACTCTGGTGCCACAACACACTACAATTCCCAGAATTCCACAACATTGAGCCATGCCACTTCAAGTGGTGTCGACAGATATTTCTGCACTGTGGATGCAGCCTCTGTTTTGTAGGAATGGCTCTCAACATTTCAGACAGGGTTCTTTCCTAGCTCTACCTGGAGATCCCTTGCATTTTTTCTCTTTTTAATCCATATATTAACTAGGCCTGACTGAGCTGGGCTTTCAAATACAAGAACAGGGATGTTCAGGGTGAAATCTTGGTCCTTACAATGCCTATATGATAGGAGTCAGCTGCTTCTGTTCAGCTACCATACTGGAAGTTGCAGACATCAAAATGGGAAAATATAAGCAGATGCTTATGTTTCCAAAAACAAACCCAAGGAATGTTTTCCTCGTAGGCCATTTGTGAATGCCCAGACAAACGAGGGCATGTGAATTTGCTTCCTCCTGGTGTTTTCTGTTTTCCAGCAATTTTCTGGATGTGGATTTCATCTGAATCTGAATCTGTTCCTCACTTTTTCACTCCACACTGTTCATGTGCTTTAAGAATATGCGCTCAAAGTAATTGTTCCACATGCCCAAGTGACTGGCAGGTCTGAGCAGAAATACATCTTCTTAATTACCAGATATTGTTTACTAATAGGCTAATGTCATGCCAAACCAGTTAGTGACCAAACAGCATATTGAACAACTCTGGAGAAAAGCATATTCCTTCTCTTCCCTTCTGCCTCCTCCCTTGAAGTATTTGCAGGACACATTCAGTGGGCTAGGTTAAAATAGGCTCAGCTGGATTGGCCCCTTATTACCTTCATTGTTGTGAGCAAAGACTGAACAGTAAGAAGTGAATGGAGAGGGATGCTGGGAGCTGCAGTCCCACAACATCTGGAGAGCCATGATTCCCAGCCCTGCATTAAAGCAAAGTTGGATGTGAGAAAATCTTGTTTTATTGTTGATTCCTGCTTCATGTTCCAGTGAATACTTAATGCAAAACAGCCTCTGTTTTGATAGGAAATGTTTTAACAAGACAATCCTGTACATGCCTACGAGGAAGTAAGTCCCTTTAAGTTAAATGAGTCCTAGTTTAATAGGCATAGTACTGAGTCTGACAACAGCCTGACTGTTTATTCTGCTGCTCCAATGTTGTTGGATTGTCGTTCCCATCAGCCTTACCTAGCATAGCCAATGGAGAGGAATGAAGGGAGCTGCAGTCAGACAACATCTGGAGGATCACAAATCATCCACACTGGTCCTAAATGAACACCCGCTGTGCTTTGATTGAATACTAAGGGCAGAATGCTATTGATTTATTGCCCTCCCTCTCTAAACCAAAGGGGGTTCTAAAGGAGCCCATTTCAGTGTTTAAACAGCCAGAGGCGTTGAGGAGCAGGTCTGCAATAACAGCACCGGAAACAGGACTGTAGGTCGGTTGCTGCCAGGCGCAATGTGGTTTATTATGTTTCCTCATGGGTATAACAGAACTCCTATTTGCTGTTGCTGTTTTATGGGCCAGCCTGGGTTGCAGTGGATTGATTGCACTGCAAATGCTTTGAATTCCACCACTTTGTTTTCATGTTCTCTCCCACCTCTGTATTTTGATTCTTGGAACTACAATTACCTGCCAGTCTCTTGCAAACAGTCTCATTCAAATCTGCTTCTTAATTAGCATTTTTCTTCAGGAACACAAAGGGGGAACATGAAAGCTCTTGCCGCTTTAATATCTGATAGAAATTAATCTTTTAAAAAAATAAGTTTCGTCTTCTATCCCCTGCCACCCTCTTCTTGCTTAACAGGCAGAAGTGAAACCTCCACATAACTGTCTCCAGATTTTCCAGCTGTCTGCTTAACATTTGGCTGTCATCTTCAGAACTGCCACAGGGATCACAGTCTGCCACAGCAATTGGTTCTTCCTCATTTTCTCAAGTGCCAAGGAAATAATCTGAA